TTTCTTTAAATAATAAATTAATCAAATGAGTCAGTCAATTTAATTAATTAATCAATTTAAATGAGTTTTTGCGCCAAATTAGGTTGTTTTGTACAATTTTTCTAGTTTCTTGACGTGATCCTTTGAGTAAAGCATATCGAATTTGCTGGTATTTTTGTAAAGCCCTTTTAACGTGCTACAACCTTCTCTTTAAGTTATTTCTGATATATTGTATCAATAAAAAGTAATCAACAAAAATAACACAAAAATATTAAAAAATATACGTTTTTTCAAAATTAGGAAAAATGCACTAAACATACAACAAAGGTGTAAATGTATGAAAGATAGTATGTAAACTTATCTTTCAAACAAAAAAAAGTTCATTCCGATCCGATACATGGTATGTAAAATATAGTTATTTTTAATATAGCCCTTTCCGCCATTTTGATGACGTCATAACCGGAAACTGCAGTGGGTGCAGACGTGACACCCGAGTTGAAAACACTTATTTAGACACATACATCAACATTGAATGGTAAAACTGTTTATATAAGGCTTGTGCACTGCCCTAGATGCCGGACTAATAGGCGTTTTTGCGCCAAAATATGTGTTTTTATGAGATTTGTCTAGTTTCCTGACGAAATCTTTGGAGTAAAACATATCGAATTTGGTATTTTTGTAAATCTTTTTAAATGTTCTACAACTTTTTCCATTGGTGGTTTTTGATATATTGTATCAATAAAACGTTACAAACAAAAATAACACAAAAATATTAAAAAATACAGGTTTTTGCAAAATTACGAAAAATATACTAAAAATACAAAAAATGTGTAAATGTAAAACAGATAGCATTTAAACTTATCTTTCAAATAAAAAAAGTTCATTCCGATCCGACAAATAGTTTGCGAAATATACGCTTTTTAAAAATCAATGGCCGCCATTTTGATTACGTCATAGCCGGAAAACGTGGGGGGTAGGAGGTAAACACCCAGGTTTTTTAAACTCCCTAGACATCAAACTAAAACGTTATGCAAGAATATTGAGTATACGCAAGTTTGCACACTAAAGTAGCTAGCTGCTGGACTATAATGAAAATTGTGAGTTAATTCTGATTTCTAAAGATTTAAATTGACTGCCATATTTTACTGGGTTAAGATAGAGACCTCTTGTTTGCGTTGTTAGTTTTCTTTTATCACGACCTTCAAAATGAGGGGTCACTGAATAGGGCTTAACATTTCAAGTTTTTGAGTTTCCCCCAAAATCTTCCAATTTGGGTTTGCGAACCAAGTAGCAATTAGGCTCAAAAAGTACTTCATAACATTCCATAAAGGTGTGCAGAGTTTAGATTTTTTAGTGTGAGCCGTTACAAAATTTACAAGGGTTCTCCAGACTTTTTACAAGTTATCCCTGTAGAAGCAATAGGGAGCATCAAATAAAGATTTTTAAGCAGCATTAAGGTTTTAAGCTTAAACCGGTTAAAATATAAAAAAAATCACTTTGTCTGATTAGTCATTGCCCAAATAATGGCTCATAAGTAAGTTGGGGTCTAATAATGGGGTCTCCAGACTTGGAAAGCTGTACAGTAAGTTAAACTTTGCTTCTGAGAATTTCAATTGACTATCATTTTTACTGGGTTGAGATGGAGACCCCTAGTTTGCGTTGTTGGTTTTCTTTTATCAGGCCTTTAAAATGAGGGGTCACTCGATGGGTCTTACCATTTAAAAACGTTGAGTTTCCCCGAAAATCCCCCATTTTGGGGATGTACACGAAGCGGTGGTTAAGCCCAAAAAGTACTTCATAACATGCCATAAAGGTGTGCAGAGTTTAGTTTTTCTAGTATGGGCCGTTAAAAAATTGACAAGGGGTCTCCAGACTTTTTAGAAGTTATCCCTGTAGAAGCCACACCAGAGCTGTAGCTGTACTGTAGAGAATATCAAATAACAATTTTTAAGCAGTATTAAGCACAGACAATGGAATAAACCCAGACGTATCACTGGGCGATGCATTATGTGCTCGTTGGCGATGCATAGGGCCCCGTCACATCCTGCCCCTAACGGAGAATCAAGGAAACACGCAGTCTCGCCAGTCGCCGGTCGCTGGCTTGCAAATAATTGCAGCACTAGCAGTTCAACGCCAAATTCTCGTCTATTATTCCTCCTCCGCAACTCGCGCAGTCTACCGATACCGTACTCCCTTCGACCTCCCGTGCATCCATCTGCCTGCGGACAGCATCTATTTTTCATTGTGTGATTAATTTAAGCACATATGCGACAAAGTTTAGCAATAAATTATACAGGGTGTTCAAAAAAGGTGGGGGACATATTTTACCTAGTGATTCCTTGGGTGATCCCCTAATTCAATTCTGTATTTGTGTGAGTGTATGTCTGTTGGTAACACATTAATGTCCTTATTTCTCAGTGTTTCGTGGAAAAGTCAAGAGCAGCAGTTTTAAATAAATAGGTACAGTATTCTCAAATCAACACTTTTACTTCATAGGCTATTATGCATGTCGTCGTATTATCTATCTATCTTCTATATTATTAATACACTACATGAAACTTTGTGAACAATAAGGCTTTTTTGTTTTTATTTAACCCCACATATTGCATACAAAAATGTTCGCCTAGGTGTGGAGATTTGCAAACTGACCTTACATTTTTTTAAAAGTCCCTTGGGCTCTGCCCCAGTGGCTTCAAAGCTCCCATGTTATTCTTATGAAGAACATATTTGTTTACATTAAGATCAGCTGGATAATTCAATCGATGTTAATATTTTAGTTGCAATTTAAGGAAACTTGTGCTACAAACATTCATAGTCATAACAAGTCATAACATAATTATATGACATTACTTTTTTCACTAAACATTACTTTTTCCAACTTGATGAAAAATGCTTGTTTTATTTTGAAGATTCAGTTTAATGCCATAAAACTGTTTAAAAACGCTTATATCTCGAAAACGGCATGAGATACGGCAAAACGGTTGAAATTCTGGCATACTACGTGGATGTCAACTTTTGATTATGAACAATATTACAACATAAAAAAAAATCAAAAAGTAAAAAACAATTAACATTATTTTATATGGTACAAATAACAGTTGCCACGAGAATTTTCAAAGACCATACTTGTTGACACTTTTCCACACCTCAAAATTGCAAATATAATGGAAATTACAAGTTACAACTTCTAACTTGTAGTCTTGTAGTGCCAGTGCGGGGTTTATTATGAAACAGGTACCTGGTCTGTTGAACTAAATATCCTCATTTCTCAGCTGTTTGTAATGGGATCGTTTAAAACTTGGTGGCGTTTGATAGGGTATTTTAAATGCTAAATAAAAGTGTCCATGGCTTTTTTTCATAAAATCAGCAGGTTTTTTGTAATTACAGATATAAAGTTTAAAATACCCGTATTTTGAAACAGAAACATATTTTTCAATGATTATTTTTTCTTAAATACATTATAACGTATTAAAACTGTATACCAAGTTTCATAAACATATCTTAAATAGTTTTCGAGAAATATCTCATTCAAATCGCGTTCATTCAAATTCAAATAGAATCCCACAGCGCCAGCTGAGGAGGAAACGCTTCGCGTCTTCCGCTACAGTGGCGCGGCAATACAGCCTCATCATGAAACAGCGCCTAGCGCAGATCCAGCTGACCGTCTGCATTAAAGTATTATATTGTCTGTGGTATTAAGGTTTTAAGCTAAAACCATTTAAAATAAAAATAAAATCACTTTGCCTGATTAGTCATTGCCCAAATAATGGCTCATAAGTAAGTGGCTAAGAGAAACATAAATATTTCAAATACTTATCCTAAAATAAAAGAGTATACTGATATGAATTATTTCTTTATAAAGAGCCCATTTATAGCAATTTATCGAGTTGTATTAATTTTATTTCTCCTGAGTTTCAAGTTTACATGCATGTTAGTTGAAGAAAGCAAATATCCACAATGAAAAAAACAACAAACTCCAGCAAACCTAAGAACCAATCTTTTTAGCTATATAGTATGCTATAGTTATATATGTATTAAATGTCTTGTAATCCAAACAGATCAATTTAATAGCAGTTGTAATTTATATTTATCAGGAAGGTACTCAGTATTGTCCGAGCTCCCTTTGCTGCCAAGCAAGCTAGTTAAAATCTGAGACCAAGTTGTGTTTCTTGCTTTATATCCACTACTATTCTAACTGGTTATAAATAAATCTCATATAGGCTAAATTCTATTTTAGCTGATATAGAACAAAAAGGGTTTGTCATAGATAATACAGTGATTGAATTTGAGGAAACTTTACTTGCTGATCGGCGTATTTCAGACTTCTATGGCTGACTGTAGTCCTTTACAGCCTTATAGAGTCGTCCCATATTACTTTGAAATTCCCTTTCATTTGGCCACATTGTGATCCGCAGGCAAAATTTCATTTAATACTAACCACTGCTTTAACAGTCAGACTACTCCTTTAAACATTGTGCAAATGTTTAAGACCACCTCCGAACACCCTCCACTCCTTGCGCACATTTACTACGTACCTACATGTTACTTCCTTCACGTTCGTTAACTTGCGATGGACTTCAATAGTGGTTGACGACCGAGACCACAGAAATCTAATCGCAGTATGTGATTTTTTCTTGCTAGGAGCGTAAATTATCTTTCTCAAGGTTTTCAAATACCGGTACTATGTAACCAATTGTTCCATAGAAGTGGGGACTGTCTTGAATAGTAGTAAATGAAATAACGAACACAACATTGGTGTCAGACTTTAACTAGCTTACCTGGATGCGATGAAAGATCAATGGAGACCATAATGTACAGACATGCCTCATATTTTTGTTTGTACACAATCAAAACATACATTTCATATTTAATAGATTCAATTAAATACTTACTTGGTTATTACACAGTGTATGTAAATAATACCTGCTAAATTATGTTGAAGCATCACTACCTATTTATACACTTTTTTAAAGTCAATAATAGTAGACTGAACTGGGTGGAATAAGAACGTGCTTATGAAAAGCTCGGCCATTTGTAAACACTTATATACAAATTTCTATGTAGTTTTGGTCATTTTTTGTCTATAAAATAAATTAAATTAAAAAATTTAAAGTAATTGCACCTTTAAGGTTATTAAAATTTAAAGTTAACATTAGTGGCTAGGTTTGTTCACTACAAAGTCTATCCTAGAAGTCGAAGCAAACTAAAGGAATCACGTGAGTAGCAGAGAAGCCATTTTTTCATCGATCCATTTCCTCAAGTACGGGATATTTGTGTAAACAGCAGGAGTAGAAGTCCCACAGCCAATACCCCACGCTACAATGCCTGCCTGGACATATACATTGGGGTCTTGACTGCTGGGGCATGCCAGAGGACCACCGCCGTCACCCTACACAAATACAAACAAATAGATAAACATTATGTCTCATGCTACAATGTCTGCCTGGACATATACATTGGGGTCTTGACTGCTGGGGCATGCCAGAGGACCACCGCCGTCACCCTACACAAATACAAACAAATAGATAAACATTATGTCTCATATGCTACAATGTCTGCCTGGACATATACATTGGGGTCTTGACTGCTGGGGCATGCCAGAGGACCACCGCCGTCACCCTACACAAATACAAACAAATAGATAAACATTATGTCTCATGCTACAATGTCTGCCTGGACATATACATTGGGGTCTTGACTGCTGGGGCATGCCAGAGGACCACCGCCGTCACCCTACACAAATACAAACAAATAGATAAACATTATGTCTCATGCTACAATGTCTGCCTGGACATATACATTGGGGTTTTGACTGCTGGGGCATGCAAGAGGACCACCGTCACCCTATACAAATACAAACAAATAGATAAACATTATGTCTCACGCTACAATGCCTGCCTGGACATATACATTGGGGTCTTGACTGCTGGGGCATGCCAGAGGACCACCGCCGTCACCCTACACAAATACAAACAAATAGATAAACATTATGTCTCATATGCTACAATGTCTGCCTGGACATATACATTGGGGTTTTGACTGCTGGTGCATGCAAGAGGACCACCGCCGTCACCCTACACAAATACAAACAAATAGATAAACATTATGTCTCATATGCTACAATGTCTGCCTGGACATATACATTGGGGTCTTGACTGCTGGTGCATGCAAGAGGACCACCACCGTCACCCTACACAAATACAAACAAATAGATAAACATTATGTCTCATGCTACAATGTCTGCCTGGACATATACATTGGGGTTTTGACTGCTGGGGCATGCAAGAGGACCACCGCCGTCACCCTACACAAATACAAACAAATAGATAAACATTATGTCTCATGCTACAATGTCTGCCTGCAGGGCCGGTTCTAGGAATTTTTCAGAGTTAAGCGAACACCCGAATCAGCGCCACCTAGAATTCCCCCCCCCCACCCCATACACCATGAACATAACTTAACCCTATTTCATTTGTAAAAATTTTTCCCCAAAAATTTTGCGTAGCACTATTTTATAAGCTTAGGTTAGAAGAATACTTGCAATAAAAGAATTTTTTTAACTACTGTTTATTATTCACAGAAATTTAACATTTTTACACTTTTACTCATCATACGTACACTTTAGTAAAACCATTGACTATACACAGAAATTTCTGTGTATAGGCAATGGTAAAACCCAAAGTTAACAATTAATTTCTAAATGCAAAATCAATTTTCACAGGATTACTTGGATACGATATAAGTTTTTATAAAGCCTATTACAATGAATAACCGGGGTGAGTGATAAGGGAAAGATGGGAGGGGGAAGTTTCTTGCTGTGACAAGTGGCGCTGCACGCTAATCTCGAGCGTGAGCCAAGAAATGAAACCCACACAGGCACCGCGCTGTACGCTGCCAAGCGTCAGCTCACTACAAATCGAAACTGTAAATAGTGCATATCAATGCCTCCTTGAGTTGAAGTGCTGTATCACACTTGCATTGAACACATTTTTCAGGCGCTATTGGTACAAAACAGAATAAATGCCTTTGGTGTAGTGATTTGGATACCTACTTGAACTCTGAGCAAAAAAAAAAAAATTAAGTTGTTCACTTGTCAGTAAACGTGTTTCCAATTTTGTCTTCTGAAAAAAATTGTGACCCGTTGGCGCCACTTTTTCGTGGCGCCATATGCGACCGCGTAGTTCGCGTATGGGTTAAACCGGCCCTGTCTGCCTGGACATATACATTGGGGTCTTGACTGCTGGTGCATGCAAGAGGACCACCGCCGTCACCCTACACAAATACAAACAAATAGATAAACATTATGTCTCATGCTACAATGTCTGCCTGGACATACACATTGGGATCTTGACTGCTGGTGCATGCAAGAGGACCACCGCCGTCACCCTACACAAATACAAACAAATAGATAAACATTATGTCTCATACTACAATGTCTGCCTGGACATATACATTGGGGTCTTGACTGCTGGTGCATGCAAGAGGACCACCGCCGTCACCCTACACAAATACAAACAAATAGATAAACATTATGTCTCATATGCTACAATGTCTGCCTGGACATATACATTGGGGTCTTGACTGCTGGTGCATGCAAGAGGACCACCGCCGTCACCCTACACAAATACAAACAAATAGATTAACATTATGTCTCATATGCTACAATGTCTGCCTGGACATATACATTGGGGTCTTGACTGCTGGTGCATGCAAGAGGACCACCGCCGTCACCCTACACAAATACAAACAAATAGATAAACATTATGTCTCATGCTACAATGTCTGCCTGGACATACACATTGGGGTCTTGACTGCTGGGGCATGCAAGAGGACCACCGCCGTCACCCTACACAAATACAAACAAATAGATAAACATTATTTCTCATGCTACAATGTCTGCCTGGACATATACATTGGGGGTCTTGACTGCTGGTGCATGCAAGAGGACCACCGCCGTCATCCTACACAAACAAAAACAAATAGATAAACATTATGCCTAATGCTACAATGTCTGCCTGGACATACATACTAGGGCCTTGTTTGTTCTTACATATGTATACATACACATAAACATATTATGTAAATGTTTTCCATATTCTTTCAAATAAAAATGATACATTTGTGTTGGTTAGAAGTCTTTGACAACAAGTTCCTTCCGGCAGGTAAAGACATAGTACTTGCTTAATATCTTTAGGAGCTCTGTAGTCGGTTTAAGCTGGTTATTTAGAGTATATTTAGAGTAGTATTAGAAGGACAGAGAGATCTGCGTTTGGAAATAAATTATATAATTATTCATAGGTTTAAAATTTATAAGTCCATATCGTGATTGTATTATGGACGTAACTACAATAATTTTGCTAGCTATAATTGACCTACAGCTCGTGACATCTAAGCTGGCACTTGGCCTAGCGTGGCCGAATGCCGGGCAAAAGCGGACCTGGAACATTGGGTACACATCATTAAAGAGGGCAAAAGCGGACACTAGGGATTACTGCCACCTGACAAAGGGTTTGCAGGTCTTTTTTCATGGGTGGAACATTGCGGACACTTGTATCTATGACAGTGTAAAGATTGCGAGGAAGGGAGGCTGTCATATAATTCCTTATCTGTACATTGTAACATCTGTTCAAATGTTTAGAAATTGTTTTTGTTTACTTTGATGTTTTTTATGGTATAATCATTTTATTACAATAGAAATTTTACAAAAAAGAGTAGAGGACTGTAAAATTAGAAATTAACAATTAATTTTTAAACAAAAAAATTTGGAATCCCAGCTCCATCTTCAAATTCTCTCGCTGACCGCCATTTCTTTCTTGTTCTCCTCAAACACATACTGGTTGACCTTAAAACAGCACAAATTGTTCTTGATCTTATCCAACTTATTATTAAACTGTATGGTTTTTTCCACTTCTCTGATAGTTTTTCAGCCATAACCCTTAAAAACATTTGGAACTCATTCCCAAAAATTCCGTCAACACTTGTAACAAGAGGAGTAAACGATGCATGTCGTTGTTCACAAGCTTTAGTATATTTTCGTTTTTTTTCTTCTTCAGCTTTCTTAATAACTTGTTGATGAGGGATGGAGACATAAGATGGAGCATCAGTGTCAACGACACGAACATCAAACAATGCCTCCATCTGAGTCTCCCATACGCCTCTACAAGCTAGATCAGCTTTTAGTGCAGGTTCGTTGAGATGACTGCCTTCTGCTATCAAGGGCTCTTTTATGCAGTTTCCCCAAGCTTGTTCCATCATGCTACCTATTGTGTCTCTTACTTCATTGTGTCTTTTTATTATCAGACCTCCATTTCGACATTTTAGAGCATGCTCTGTATTGAACTCGTTTCCGCATCCTTCACATTTTAATGGGAGGTTTATTGGTGTTTTCCCATAACGTAGAGCAAGGGCATCTCTAAATTCTTGTGGGGACATGTCCAGATTAAGTTTCTTCAGAGGCAAGCATGATAGCCAGCATCCATGTTTTGCTCTAGGTCCTGCATTGCGCATAATAATTTTCTGCCGTTTTTCTGAGAAAGTTTCCAAATGCTGACTGAATAATTCTTCTTCCATGGATTTCTTTACTTCTTTACATGACTTAATCGATAAATTTAGGGCATATTCATGTGAATCAAAACAAAATTTAGTTTTCTCTTTTAAACAAGATGTAAGAATTTTGCATCCATCTTGAGATGATTTAAACATATAATTTGACTGCTTTGTTGGGTCTATTATTCCTATTCCTCCCTTTTTTACTGGTAAATGTAGAATCTCACATTCCTCATTGCTTACTTCTGAACAAAATAGATTTGGAAAAAAAGATGTCCTAATTGCTTGTTGTATAGGTAAATACGTTTCAGATTTAGTTTCAACTACCCTTTGAAAAAAAGTCCATTCCATTTGTGAAGATTTAGTCACTACAGTGTAGGCAGATTGTGGATATTTCTTTGCAATATTTGCCAGATTGTCAATGTTTTGGGTCCATAAACCAATTTTTTCAGAAATGTGTTTATTTTTTTCCTCTTCAGAACCTATATATCCACCAAGAAATTGGCTACCCTTACAAATTTTCATACCTGATATTTTCTTTTTAAATTGTTTGGAAATATTATCATGATTAAAAATTAATTTTGTTTTATTGACTTGAGGAAAGTACCCATATTTTGGACCTAATTTTGAGAGCTTTTCCCACCATTCCACAACATCATCAAGGGAGCCTTGACAAGAAGAGTCATCTGCATACCAAACTTGAGATGTGTTTGGCATTCTTTTTAGTTCTTGTATTAATGGAAGTGTTGCCAGACCGTATAATATCATTGATAGTGGATCTCCTTGGGTAACTCCTTCTTGACTATATAATCTTTGATTACTTCCTTGTAAAATTAAATCTGA